TTAATATTATTATCATAGACGGAAATGAGAAGATCAAGATATATATATATATATATGTAGGCAAAAAGGGAGAGAAAGTGATTGAAACAAATAGATAATAATTGTGGGATATGAACACTTCAAATAACAACAATATTAATATACTCGATTTACCTGATGAAATGTTACTTATTATTCTCAGCAAATTGGATATGGTTGATATATTCTATTCACTTGTGGATCTAAATAAACGCTTTAATCAATTAGTACTCGATCCTCTCTATATTCATCATTTAGATTTAACAGTCGAAAAATCGCTTGATCATAATTTTCCCGTAGAAAAAAAAGTTTTCGATCAAATTCGCACAAAAGTTTTACCTCGAATTCATCATAAAGTGAATAAAATCACGATTACATCACCTTTTATCGAATTTATTTTTAATACAGTTGATTACCCTCAACTTCGCTCTCTCTCGCTTGTCAATTTTCAACAAGAAACACTTTTACAATATTTAACAAGTATATTCTCTAATTTCTTTTTTGATTTAATGAATAAAGCATCTTTATTACCAAATATCAAATGATAATCATTTCTTTCTGTATATTTAAGGTGATGTAATATTTTGTCGTGTTCTTAGTGATCAAATAACTCATCTTAAAGTCGAAATCAAAGGTGGCATAATAGTGAAATTATCGAATGGAAATGAACCGAATTTATTTACATTGATATTATTTTTGTGTAAACATCTAACGGATTTGACCATTCTTCAATACTGTATTGGCGATAGTATAACCGATCCTACTTTCAATTTGTCATCGATGTGTCCTGTATCTTTAACTCTAACTAAAATGAAAATTAATGTCAACACTTTTGATGACTGTCTAAAGTAGACCACAAAAGTTTAAGGCACTTTTTATTGTTTAATTTTCTCCATGAAAGATCACTTGATAATAGCATCCAAATAGTGCTTTCGATAGCTCTCAGAGTGGACTACAAGAATGATGTATAGCGATATCTGAAGGACAATTTTTTTATTTGTTTATGAAGAAAATATTTTTTCTCCAGCGATCAAAAGTTTAAGGCACTTTTGGACACATCTCGAAAAGAATTTCAAACACACCTTTTTTCCTACCTGGTTTTTACTTTTTACGATATATCCTGCTTATTTGTTTATCAATCAAACTATTCATGGGCAAGAAGCCGATTGATACATTTATTCGAGCCCAGATCGTGGCTTTACATGGTGCTGGTTTAAATCAAGTCGAAATCTCAAATCAACTCAAAGTTTCTCGATGTTGTGTACAAAATGCCATCAAGAAATACAAAGAACATGGTATATACAATGATCTCAAGCGTTCAGGTCGTCCAAGAAAAATAACTAGTCGTGGCATACGTCACTTGAAAAGATTAGTGAAAGGGAATTCTCGTCTTAGTGCAAGCAAAATAGCTTCAGACTTAAACAACAGCTTACAAAAACCAATCACAGCAGAAACAGTACGCCGGTATCTAAAAAGTTTTGGCTTTCAATACGTGGTAAAAATAAAGAAACAGTGGTTGAATGCTAAACATAGACAACGGCGTGTTGCCTGGTGCACACAGTATTCAAGCTGGACATGTGACGATTGGAAAAATGTAATTTTTTCGGATGAATCGACGTTTTATGTTTTGAAACGAAAGAATCTCTGCAAAATATGGCGTTTGGAAAAGGAAAAACTTCTTCCGGAATGTTTGGAACAAACAAATACAGGTGATGGCGGCAAGATTGGAATATGGGGTGGAATCTCGGGCTTTGGCACAACAGCAGCCAAGATTTATATGGAAAATATGAATGGGCATTTATATTGTGATGTGTTACAACATGAATTGAAACAATTCATCACAAAAAGTCCGAACAAGACCAAGATGATTTTCCAACAAGACTTGGCTCCCTGGCATACCTCGAATATCGTCAAGGAAAAAATTGCTAAATTGAAATTAAATGTACTCGATTGGGCTCCAAAAAGTCCTGACTTAAACCCTATAGAAATGTTATGGTCAATTTTGGACAAAAGACTGGCCTCAAAACCAATTTATTCAAGACAGGCCCTGGAGAATCGTCTTCAGGAGGAATGGAGCAACATTGATCAGGATTTATGCATAAAATTGGTTGAATCAATGCCTGAACGAATACGAAAATGTTTAGCAGCTAAAGGTGGACATTTTTCGTGAAGTGAAATTGTGTTTCTCTAAGATTTTTCAAAGATAAAGTAAACATATGAAAAAGTGCCTTAAACTTTTGATCGCTGGAGAAAAAATATTTTCTTCATAAACAAATAAAAAAATTGTCCTTCAGATATCGCTATACATCATTCTTATATTCCACTCTGATGGCTATCGAAAGCACTATTTGGATGCTATTATCAAGTGATCTTTCATGGAGAAAATTAAACAATAAAAAGTGCCTTAAACTTTTGTGGTCTACTTACACATAAATTTTAAAACTG